AAAAACCCCACAAAACTGTTTAGGGTAAAGGGGGTCAAATATATGGTGAAAAAAAAGAGGACTCTGGGTGGTAAGCACACAATGTGATATACAGATGATGTATTACAGAAATGTACACATGAAACCTACATAATTGTACTAACCATTGTCACCCCCAATAAGTTTAATGAAAAAGAATAAAAAAGATTGCTGGGAAACAAACATTTCTCTTCCTTCCATAGTAATAGATTTTAGAGAATATATTTTATAGCTTCTCTTGTAGTTACAGGTGAAACTTAAATTCTTGCCAAAAGAATGTAAGCTGAAGTAATATGTGTAGCTTCTTTTTCACTTGTTTAATAGCAAATTAATTGTTGTCTTTGATTTTTTTCCTGCATTCTTTTTTCCTTACCAGGGGCCAGAATACGGATTGGGGGTAATCCAGTTTTGTCATCCCGGTAAGGATAACACTATGGGATGATGGAACAACACAATGCATAACCTGGGTCTCTAAGTTATTATGGTGATCAGAACTACCCAGCCAGCTGGGACTACTTACCTATTATGTGAGAAAGAAATGATCTTATTTGAACCATTATATTTGGGGTCTCTTGTGCCAGTTACTTAGCCTATATCCCAACAAACAGAATAAAAGAGGAAATCCCCACAAAAAGGAAATGTTAATGAGTAACTAAGTGTAAAAAGACATCTTTATCATAATCAAAGGAGGGTAAATTTAAACAACCATTAAATAATATTTGGACATTGTATCAGCAAAAACTAAAAGACTGATAAAATTGATAAAATTTAGTTGTTAACAGGTTATGTGAGGAAACCAGTATTCTCATGTTGAAAATGTAAAATGGTACAATTTTTGGTGAAAATAACAGCATGAGAGGGCAAAGATATATAAGATTGCACATAAAATGAAAAACTGGCACCAAGGTGGGGTAAGGTAGATAAATTATGGTGCCTCCATACAATGCTATGAAGCATTAAAAATGATGATTTGACAGACAAATCGTTTGTCATGATAGCAGATCATTTAACACAAAAGATAAAAATTAGCTTGTACTCTGGGAAAGCACGTATCAAAAAAAAATTACACATAGTAGTTTGGTAAAGAAAACAGAAAATTTATGATTTCAACTCTATCATGAGAAGAATTTTGTAGCATATCAGATTAACATTATAATTTTATTGTTATGTTGTAGCCTAAAGTGCTTTGTTAAATTGAATCAGATTTTGATAGATGATAAAACTATTTTTAAAATTAAACTTTTGTTTTACTAGCAGAACCTTGAGTAATTTGAGTTAACATACCACATAGAGCCCTGCAGCTTGGTTCTTCTCAAAGTTTTCTCCCAAAATAATTTTTAATACCAGAGAAAACTCTAAGTACGAGTATGTACTCCCTGAAGACTCTATTGAAGCCAAATGCCCCCCAATTTTTAGAAGTCTTGTGTTCTATCTTAAAAATTCATGCACATTAGGCATTCTACCCTTTATGTGACTTTTTGTTTTACTATAATTGTTTTAAATTACCTTTTAATTTAGTTAACATGTTCCTCCAAATCTTTTTTGCAAAATCAGCATTGCAGAAAACATGTCACATTAATCTTGTGGCCTTTCAAGCAGCAAAGCATCTCATATATAATAAAAAGAACATAAGCTTTGAGTTAAATCCTAGTTCTGCCAACTACTTGTCATATGAAGTTAGGCAAGTTACTTAACCTAATTAAGGCTCCATTTACTCTTCAGTATAACAAAGGTGACAATGTCTAAGTGCATATTTGTTATGCATATATTTGTTAAATTTTTTTTATTAGTTTCAGGTGTACAAAACAATGTAATAGACATTTACACCCCTCACAAAGTGATAACCCCCGCTCCCCCAATCTCCTACTCCTCTGACATCATACATAGCTGCTACAATTCTACTGACTCTATTCCTTATGTTAACTTTCTATGCTTTGCAATATAACGAACACTTACATTTCACCTTGTTTTCACTTATGACATGACCACCATTCATTTTAACCCTCAGTTACTACCCTACCAGCTTCCATTTTATTTAGCAATTGCACTAATACCTGTAATTGTGCTTTCCTGAGCTGCTGACTGGTAATTCGAGCTTTTTGTTGCATCATATTTTCAATTCGTTGGTTGACTTGCTTTTCTTTCTTGAGCTCATTTTCATAAAATTTGGACCCCTATATGTAGGAAAACAAAGTAAAATGTAAGAAAAATGTCTGAAGAACAGGATCACGGTAGTATAGCCTACTAGAATCAGAATAATTGAATAAAAAATTTAGCTTTACTACTTCTAGCTGGGTGACTTTTAAATTAATCTATGTCTCAGTTTCTTTATCTGTAAAATGAATTCATAGTTACCTAAATCATAGGATTGTTGTGAGGCAGTACTGAGAACAGTACAAACTCTGAGATGAGTAGATATGCACTCGGAAAATAACATTGTGTCCTAGGCAGAACCCTCCGGGCATATCCAAGGCCTTGGTTAGATGGGGCATCAATTATCTCCTTTGCTTTTACTTTAAACGTGTTTTTAAAAATTTACTGTTAGTCATTAAAGAAAATGTAAAAAATAACTTCTAGAAAATTACCCATCATCCCATAACCAAACATTTATCCATTTATCAGGTAGATAGACATTTGGATTATTTTTACTCTTTGACTATTATGAAAAATGCTGCAATGAACATTTGTGTACATCAAAAATGTGTGAGAATTCTAATTTCTCTACATCCTTGCCGACATTTTTTATTGTCTATCTTATTTATAATAGCCATTCTAGGCTATAATAGTGTCAATGGCATCTCATTGTGGTTTTTTTGTTTTGTTTTTTAAAGATTTTATTGGGGAATTGCGGGGAGGGGAACAGCGTTGGGGAATCGGGGAAGGGGAACAGAGAGGTAGACAAATTGCTGTTTTTGTTCTTCAGTCTAGTTGTGGAGGNCGGCTGCTCAGCTCGGGCTGACTCGAACCGCTGTTGCTCAGAGCTCAAACTCTTGAGCGAGCTCTTAACCAACTGAGCCACTCAGCCGGCCCTAAAGCTATCCCATTCTTTTGGATAAAGCAAAAATGGCTTTTCCTTAAACTTTTAAACCAAGGCATAAATATTAGTGTTTTTATTGTTAGTGAATTTATGCTGTAGTTTATTTACACATTAAAAACCCATTCATTATCTGCAAATAAACTAGCTAGGTCCTGCTCAAATCTGAAGAAAGATTTCTCCAATTTATGTAAATAACTAGACTAAAAATAACTAAAAACAATTTAGTTCTCACTGTCATACTGCCCTAAGTTTTCATGAATTAAAGTGGGACTCAAAAATAATTATTTTTTTCTTTTTAGCAAGCTATTTTATTGCACGTTTCTCAGAAACCATAGATCAAGAGGACTAAAAAAGAAATAAACGTATCAAATATCAAAATAATTCTTTCTTACAAAGTCTTCAAAAGGTTTTCAAACTTATGAAAACTCTGTAATATTTAAGGTCAGCATTTTACATCTTTCTAATTAGGAATACAGTAGAACTCACAAGCAGGAACCAAACATGAATGTGCTACCCCTTCCCCCACCACCTTTCCAGAGCTAGGCACAAAAGCACTTGCTTCCACAGACTGATTTTGAAAAAAGTTGAAAAAATTTTTTAATTGTGGGTGAAGTATCATTTTAGTTTTTTTGGTGGGGGGTTAATTTCTAGGAATAATGAGGTGGGATACAAATAAGAGGAGTGAATCTAAAGACCACTTGTGTAACTAAATGGTAATAAGGGCTAGGCCATAGTTTGTCAAGCATTTCGTCTTAAACACACTGCATTTTACCGCAGTAGTCTAAAAGTGTTTGATGTAGCATTCTAAAGTTTTAATTTATGTCTTACGATCCAGCACTGGTATGAAAGTCCAGTTATTATTTAAAAAAAAAAAAAAAGGAGAAAATGGCAGTTTTTCGTATGTGACAGCTTAGGCAAATTTATTGAGTAATTGGATCTTTATACGCCAGAGATCCTTTTCAAAGCAATAGATTATTCCCTTTTTTCTTGGATTATCAGTCTTTTAGACATTAAATGCTCATAAGCATCTTCACTAGATTGTGTGTGGGCCAAGGAAACCAGATAATCAAAATTAGTGAATATTGTTACTGCTTAAAAACATTGATAAAAAAATATTTCAGAAAAGAGGTTGAAATTAATGACTTGAACTAATTCTGTAAATTATAAATATCAGGTGATTCTAGTATATTGCACATTAAGAAAAAAATAACTAAAGTTAATTTAGGTTATAATTAAGGCAATTCAAAGTTTTGTGGGGAAATAAGAGTTTTCTTATGATGAAAAACAGATGAAAAAATATGTGGAAAAGCAGAGAATTGGGAAATAGAAGGGTGTATTCTGGATACCATATGCAGCTCAGTATTCAATGTATAAACTGAAGAAGTGGTAGGAGGTAAGACGAAAGGGCTAATAAGCTAAGGCAAAATTCTGATGTATGAAAGCATTTGCAGTTGACTTTATTGGTGACAGAAAATCAGTTAAAGGATATATAAGTAGAGATGAGATATCAGACTTACCTCTCTACTCACAGCTCGGTATTTGTCAAAGTTTGGGGGCACTATAATAAGTTGCGGGCAGAGTCTTTTAGCAATAAATCCTGGCATGGCTGCACGAACTCCAAACCTCCTTGCATGATAATTTGAAGTACTCTGAAAGAAATGGACCACATGGGAAAAAGTAAACAAGCCTAAATGAAGATATTGATCAATGTATTCAAAAGAAACACATTACTGATGGGTATTTTCAACTCAAGGACATTTCTTTTATAGGTCACTGTCTCAAATCAAGCTTTGATTTTATCCCATGATAATGTTACAGTATCATGACCCTGTTTCTCAGCTGTCCCCATATTTATAATGTGACACCAGGGACTAAGCAAGACTGTGCCAATAAAAATGTCCTCTTATATTTCCAGTCACTAAACTTCATTGTTTTTAAGGCATACCCATAATATAGTACTATAGTACTGTAGTATCATAATATAGTACTATGTATCATAATATAGTACTATATATCAAAGTTTGGATGATAGTGGGTGATGTCACATGAAAGAGTTTAGTAATAGTAATAAAGTAATATTATAGTAGAAATAATATAGATGCTACATGAAAGTAATAGTATAGTATAGTAATAGTAATATATATACCATAGTAATTGTACAGTATAATAACATAGATTTGGAATTCGCTGTATTTGGGATTTTGGAAGTTTTTCATATATAACAAAAATCAAAGGACTAATATATGGTCAGCCAAATTAAGTCTCCAAAGTGAAGTAATAAAAGCTTATAAGCACTTTAAAAATTAAGTTTTATTTCTTAAGGCTTCACTATCTTTTTTTTTTTTTTTTGCATTTTTCATAAATGGGCTATAAAATACACTTAAATCTATACTGATACTAAAAATGTCCTCATGAACAAATCCATTAAAGACTTTAGTTTCTGAACTTAATGGAGGAGAAATGCAGTTTAAATGTATTTATAACAAGATTAAAAAGAGAGCTTTCTGATCCCATTTTGTAATTTTATTACATATAAATGTTTTCTAAATTAAGGTAAATGCAGAAGCAAAAACTAAACTTCGGGTTTTAAGACATATGAATGCATAATAATTTAAAAATACACTTGGTCTTTTAGAAAGATTTTCTAAAGATAATAAAAATAATACAGCAAACACCTGATCAGTTTCAAATTTTAAAGTATATAATATGAATTAAGTTACAGACAGATGCTTTCCAAATGCGAATTCCCAGGCCAACTACAAAATAAGCATTATTTTCAAATTTACATTAACTGTTACTCACATGCTTCAATTCCTTTCATTTTCCATGTTCTGGTTTTAAAATGCAAAGCACTCCAGAGGAGATTTAAGACTGTGGCACAGCGGAAATAGTATTTACCTAGACCCCCTTTTCCCCATCTGAATGTGTGGAAGTCAAAGTAAAGAGAGCTGCAGAAAAACTGCATACCAAGTAAGGTATCTGTCATGTTCATAAGCCCCTTCTGCAGATTTCCTTATGCTATGTTTATGTTCTTCATGGCTCTTTATCACCCTACCACCAAGTGAGTCACTCTAATAGTAGAATACTATCGTAGGAAGCAAAGCATGCTGCCTTCAGGTTTATTGTTAGAGCTGCCACTGAATGGCATAGTTACCTTTTCAGTCTGCCTACTTCTCTGTGAGGCCTAGAGAAATGCTGAAGTGGTTTCTTATTTGCTTTCTTTTTTTAAAAGATTTTTATTGGGGAATTGGGGGGATGGGAACAGTGCTGGGGAATTGGGGGAAGGGGAACAGACAAGTTGCTGTCCTTTTGTTCTTCNGGCCACTCACGTAGCTCACAGCAGCCCATTGCAGCCCCAGTGCAGCCTATGCCATCGCCGGTGACTCACAGCAGCCCAGCTTCAGGTTGAGCTGTAGTTCATCATCTTAGCTGTAGAGGGCGAGCATCACTGGCCCTCAATGTGGGATCCGAACCGCAGCCCTGCTGCTCAGAGCTGGTGCTCCCAAGCAAGCTCTTAACCAGCTGAGCCACTCAGCTGGCCCCTCTCATTGTGGTTTTAATTTACATTTCCTCAATGATTAATAATGTTAAACATCTTTTTATGTGATTATATGCCATTCTTGAGTGAAATGTCTACTTAAGTCTTTTGCCCATTTTTGAATTGGGTTGTCTTCTAACTAACAAGTTGTAAAAATTCTTTGTATATTCTAGATGTAAGTCCTTTAACTGATGCGTGTTTTGCATATATTTTACCTTAGTATGTTGCATATCTTTTTTATTTTTCTAACGGTATTTTTTGAAGTGAAAACATTTTTTTTTCTTCTTTTTTTTTTAGCTGAGCCATCCTGCCACCTGTTGGCAGTTCAGCAGCAGCTCAGCTCGGGCTGGGAATCGAACCGGCGACAAAGTGCAAACATTTTGATATTTGATGAAGTCTAATATGTCAACTTTTTCCTTTATTGACTGCAGTTTTGGTACTGTATCTAAGAAATGTTTGCCTAACCAAAGGTCCAAAGATTTTCTCCTATCTTTTAAAAGGTTCATTGCTTTAGTTCTTACATTTAAGTATATTTTGAGTTAATTTTTTGTGTATGGTGTGAAGTGAAAGTCTAAGTTCATCATTTTTGGCATGTAAATATCTAGTTGTCCCAGCATCATTTGCTGAACAGACTATATTTTTGCCTTGGTACTTCTGTCAAAAATCAATAAATGATAAAATTAATTCTGGACTATTAATTTTGCTGACTGTTCTATAAGTCTAGCCTTATGACAGTAGCATACTGTCTTAATAACCGTAGCTTTATAGTAAGTTTTGAAATAAGAAAGTCAAACACCTCCATGTTTGTTTCCTTTCAAAACTGTTTTGGCTATTTTAGGTATTTTGCATTTCCATATAAATTTTAGAACCTGCTTGTAAATTTCTGCTTGTCAGGGGAAAAAAAGCCCCTGGAATTTTGATGAGGGATTATGTTGAATTTATACATCAGTTTGGGGAGAACTGTCTTCTTAATGATATTGAGTTGTCTCATCTTTGTACATGGAACACCTCTCCATTTTTTAGAGCTTTCATTTCCATCAGCATCTTTTCTTGTAATTTCCAGGGTACATGTGATGCACTCCTTTTGAAATTCCTTAGAATTTTCTATATGTAAGATCATGCCATCTGCAAAGAGATAGCTGTGGTTCTTCCTTTCCACTCTAGATGCCTTTTATTTCTTTTAATTGCCTGACTGCACTGGTTAGAATTTTCAGAACTATGTTGAATAGAAGAGGTGAGATTGGATATCTTTGCCTTGTTCCTGATTTTGGGGGGAAAGTGTTTAGTCTTCTACTACAAAGTATGGTGACAACAAATAGAAGTTCCCTTCCAGCTCAAGAGTTTTTAACATGAATGGATATAGGGTTTTGTCAAATATGCTTTTTCTGCATCTACTGAGATGACCATGTATTTACTGTCCTTTATTCTATTAATATGGTATATTACATTAATTGATTTTTGGCTGTTCAACCAACCTTGCATTCCTAGGATAAATCCTACTTGATCATGGTACGTAATTTTTTTATATATATATTGCTGGATTCAGTTTGCTAACATTTTGTTGAGGACTTTTACATTTATAATGAATGACCTATAATCTGCTCATCTGCCTTTGGTGTCAAGGGGATATTGGCCTAACAGAGTAAGTTGGGAAGTAGGGATAGATGAAACAACACTTGTAAAACTACTGGAAACTGTTGATGCTTGGGTAATAATTACCTGAGGATTCACTTACTATTCTCTCTACTTTAGTGCATGTTTAAAAATTTTCTGATAAAAGTCTGTGAAAAGTAAACTGCATTGCTATGGAGTAGCAAAAATTAGAAAATTCAATTTAAAAAACATATTTATGATAACCCCACACCCAATAAACACTAGAGAAATATGTTACATAGAATAAATATTTTAATTTATATTAATATATGAGGTATATATTTTATGATTGTAATATACATCAATCACATGATAAAAATCAATTATATGATGTATATATTTTTTTTTCTGTGATTTATATATATCATATAAAATTTATATGGAAGACCAAAGATTCAAGAATACCCAAAATACTCTTAAAAAAGAAGAGTGAGCAAAAAAAGAACTTGTTCTAGAAGACAGCAAGACCTATTATAAAGTATTTTAATTAAAATCATGTTGGATATGTACAAGAACAGACGAATAATCCAGTGGAACAGGAGAGAGAGCTACAGATCAGTAGGAAAAGGATGAATTATTTAATAAATAGTACTGGGACACAGACAAAGAGGCTTATAGGCTTTATTTTATTCTCTTCTTTCTCAAAAATTTTATGATGAAAATTTCAAAGACATCTCAAACAGAAAAATAAATCAGTAAAATAAACACATATATAAAATTATTACTGAGATTTAACAACTGTTAACATTTTGCCATATTTCCTTCATTGATTTTTTTTAAGTGAACTGTTTTAAAATTATAGATAAAATGACATTTAGCTATTCCATAGAGTATTTCAGTATACATCTTTAAAAATAAGGCCCTTTTCCCACATACGAGTATTCATAACATTTCATAACTAATAAAATTAACAATAATTCCTTAATATTATCTAATGCCCTTTCCATATTCAAATTCACCTAAATGTTCCAAATGTATTCGTTCAAACCAGGATTTAATCAGGGTTCATATATTATAATTGCTTATTTCATGTCTTAATTCTTTTACTTTTAAAATTGGATCTATGTTTTATATACCTAAAAAGTGATTTTCCCCTCAATTTTTTATTTTGGAATTTCCAAATCTTCAAAACTTGAAAGGTACAATGAACACCTACGTGTCCTCACCTAAATATAGCAATTGTTAATATCCTGCTACATTTGGTTTCTTCCCTAAGTCTTATGCATGCACAGGCACATACACATACACACAAACTTTCCTCCCCATTTTTGACCAAATCATTTTAAAGTAAATTGCTGTGAATATTAGCATGCATTTCCTAAGAATGAGGATATTCTCTTAAATTTTACACCTTTCTAAATGGATATCTCATAATATATGAGTGAAACCAAAAAAAAAAATAATAAAAAACGGCAGGAAAAAAAGAAACATTAAAGAATTCTTTTATGACCTTGGAGAAAGACGAATGTAGTTGACTAATTCAAGTACATAAAAAGAAGCAAACAAAACATTTCTGCACAGGAGAAATTACCATAAGCAAAGTGAAAAGATAAACAATGATCCAATGCAAAACTGTGCAAAAGGTAAGAAGAGATAGTAAACAAGGAAATACAAATGGCTTTTAAACATATAAAAAGATGTATAATCTCACTTTTCATAAGCAAAATACAAATTAATGCTACACTACATTACTATAAATTGGCAAATCCAAAAGTTTAGCAACACACTGTGTTGGCACAGTTGTGGCAATGGTAATACATACTCTTATATATTGGCAGTGGAAATGTAAATTGATACAAACAAATGGAGGGCAACTGAGCAATTCATAAAAATTGTACATGCATATATCTGTTTGTGCTATTTGCATTTGGTGGAGCAGTTCCACTTGTGGAAATTTCTTCCATAATTATACTTGCACATATGTAAAGTTATGAAGTACGTATGAGGTTGCTCACTGTAGTGCTTTTTGTAAAAACAACAGACTAGAAATATATCCATCAATAAAGAGTGGGACTAGCTTACTATATTATATCCACATATGTAAAAGAATGAAGATCTTTAAGTACTTATACAGAAAGACCTCCAAGTTATATTAATTAAAACAAAAATAAAAAACACAGCAACTATAATATTCTCCTACTGAGATTTTTAAAAAAGGTAAAAAAATACATGTATGTTATTTTGCTTTTATATGCATATCATGTACATGTGAAGTAGAAAACTGGATAGCAAGAGCAATCGTATAGAAAGGAAATTATTCCATACGCATATATAGCTTAACAATATTATATATTAATATATTAAAAATTATAATAAAAAGGATGTTTAAAACTTACTGATTTTCAGTTAAACAGAAAGTAAAAAACTTAACGAAATTAAAGACAATGAAAGAAACAAGGAACATACCTTTGTGGCTTCCATTATAATTTTGTTTATTTTCTCTTTATCTAATCCTTCCATCCCAGCTTTATTATCATTAAGTCCCATTCTAAGCAGAAGGTCATCTTTGTAATTGTTGTTCTTCTCCTTTGTGCTATCCATGGTGTAGACTTAACGTTAAAATGGATTTTTTTATTACCTGAAAAAGCATAAGTAAAAATTGCTTTTCAAAGTGTTCATGGGGAAGCTGGGAGGTTACAGAAATCAGCAAAAAAAAAAGATGGTTAAGAATTTTTAGCTATTGAGAAATTATTATTTATATTTTAAAATTACTATCCCAAGATTATTGTGCTCTTGGAGGGAAGAAAGAAATAAACATTTCCTGAAAGCTCTGTGCCAGCCACTCTGCTTGGTGCTTTACACTTAAACCTATCACAGCAGCCCTGGAAGGTAAATATTATCTGAAATATAAAAAGAAAAGAAACCTTTTCTCTTAGAGTCTTAGAACATGTCTACTGACACAAAATTTGCTGATAAGTGATAACATCTGTGTTGAAATGAAACCCAGGCTTCAGGCCAAAGTTCGTGTTCTTCCCATATTAATACACTGTATAGGAAATAAATACAAAACAACATGTCCTCTACTAAACACATTAAGTTCAATAGCATTTATTACCTACTGTATGCAGAGCTCCGTTCTTAAAGCAGTGAAAAAAAATACAGAAAAAATAATTATTCACTTTCAGGAAATTATTACATTGTACAACGTTATGTCACTTCTAAGATTAAGAAAAATCCTTTCAAATAATAATTCTTTAATATCTTTATATAGATAGTTCTTTAAAATTTACCTTCACATACATTAGCTTTTAAAAATATTTATAATAACCATGAGAAGTAGATTCGGTTATTTGCAGGTTAGGAAGAAAGACATTGGAATTTCAGGAAGGAATTATCCATCATTACTCTGCTAAAAAGTGAAAGAACTGGAATTTGAATCCAAGTCTTCTTACTCCAAGTCCAATGCAGCTACCATGGCATCACAGCTGTCTTCAATTTGGGGTTCACTTATGCTATAAATAAATGGCCAGGTGAACAGCTACCATAAATCTACAACATTATGACAGTGATTTCTTATTTGCATAATTTAGAGCTCATTTATGTAATCGAGGAACATTTTTTTTCTAGTTAACATCCATCACCATAGTTACAATTTTTTTTTCTTGTGATGAGAACCTTTAAATCTACTCTTAGCAACTTACAAGTACACAATACAGTATTATTAACTGTAGTCACCATGCTGTACATGACATCCCATAACTTAATTCATTTTATAACTGCAAGTTTGTATCTCTTGACCACTTTTACCCATTAGGCTCCCTGTCCCCAGCAACCAGCAATCTATCTGTTCTCTGTATCTATGAATTCAATTGTTGTTGTTTTTTTTAAGATTCCACGTATAAGTGAGATCATGTAGTATTTGTCTTTCTTTGTCTGACTTATTTCACTTAGCATAATGCCCTCCAAAGGACCTTTTCTTAGTGCTGCTTCTTCCATTTTTTGGAACCTGCAAAGAATGAAAAAAATTATCAAAGGGAATTTGAATCCTGTGATTATTAGTGATAGTTTCATAAGGAAAAAATAGTGTACATCACAGTAGCTCTCAAACTTCGCTTCACACTCGATTCACCTGGAGAGATTCTAAAGCTCTTGATGCCAGGTTGCATCCTATACCAAATAAATCAGAAAGTCTCGGAATAAGAGCCAAATGCCAGTATTTTTAAGAGATGCGGAGGTGAATTCCAGTGTGCCCCAAGCAGAGAAACCACTGGTGGTGATGTTTGTCAGTGCCCAAGGGAATATAGGTTGGTTTTCTGTTTTTATCATATGAATTTTTTTCTCTTCAACTATTACATTTAGCCTAATATTGTCCAATATTTTGCCTTATGCTTTAGTAATCCAATTACTTGTCATTTACTAGTAAAACAGGTGAAGGTAATTCATTCATAATATCCCCAAACTAACACTACTTAAGAGTGAAGGGACTAAATGCAGACATCCTACATTTAAGTGGCTTTTTCCTTTAAATGATGAAATGAAAGGAAAAGAAACATTTAATGAATGCTTACTACTACTTCACATATGGTATAATATTTAGGCCAAACACTTCGAGAAGAATTAGTTTTGGTCCTTAACTGGGTCAGAAGAACTGGGCTATACTGGTGCCAGGCAAAGATGGGATAAAGTTAGTTTTCAGCTATCATCTGCCTTGTTGATGCCCAATTACCAGGCAACTTATGTCCAATTTCATGGACACAGGTTTACTACCATCTACAGATTAAGACTTCCAAGTTTATAGCTCCAGTCCAAATGCCTGTCTGACATTTCAAATTTAACATGTCCAAAACTGATCTTCTCAGATGTCTTCATCTTACAAATCAGCTCCACTTGCAGCCTTCCTCATCTGTTACAGGCAACGGTAATCCCTTCCAGTTGCTCATGCAAATAACCTTGTAGTCATTCTTGACCCTGCTCTTTCTCATACACCCCACCTCCAAATTGTCAGGAAATCCTGTGGGCTCTGCTTTCAAAATGTACCCTGAATTCTACCACTTCTCACTATTTTCACTCTAGGCTGAATCACCATTACTATTTCATGCCTGGATTATTGCCAATAGCCTCTTAAATAGTCTCTTGTTTCTGTACTTGCCCTCCTACAGTCAGTTATCAATACAGTAGCCCAAATAATTCTTTCAAATCACAAGTTAGGTCATGTCACTCCTCTGCAAAAAACTGTACAATGGCACCCCATGTCACTCTAGAATAAAACCCAAAGTTCTTAAGGGGATATGGATCCCAGTTACTTGTTACCAATCTGCGCTCACAGCTGTCTATAACTGGCCAGCCACACTGGTCTCTTTGCTGTTCCTCAGATCTGCTGGGCACACGCTAACCTTTAGGCCTTTTGCACTGGCTGTTTCTCCTGTAAGGGGTTCTTTGGCCAGATATCTTCTTGACTAAACTTCCCTATCTTCAAGTCTTTGCTTCTCAATGAGGGCTCACCCAGACCTCCTTATTTAAAATTGCAGCCTGAGATCAGATAACTTGAGAGAGAGAGAGAGAGAGAGAGAGAGAGAGAGAGAGAGAAAGGAGACACAGAAAAAAGACAAAAGACAAAATAAATAAATGAATAGTAAAATTGCAGCCTGATTACCCCTCCTACCCTCTCTTCCCAATGCCCCATTGCTTTTCATGGGCCTTATCAATTCCTAACATACCAAGTAAGTTTACTTACTTATTATGACTGTTGTCTGTCTCCCCTGTGAAAATGTAAGCCCTATGAGGGCAGGGAACTTTTTTTTTTCTTCACTTTATGAATCCCCAGTGCCTCAAACAGTGCTTGGCACAGAGGAAGAGCTCAATAAATGTTGAATGACTAAATTCAGTTTATATAATTTTCTCATTCTTTTATTGACGTAGCACGGTCACATAATCATATTAAAAGACTGGGACAAAAACTGCTTTTCTGAGTTAATACTTCAAGATATTTGTAGTTTTTCCTTATTTCAACATTAACTATGTAGGAACAAATATGTGAGCTAAACAACCTCCAATCCTATAAATCTTATTTTCCTAAGGCATTTAGTGGTTAAATTAGTTTATTAAAGCTTTTGGGATTTGTATTAGAATATAAGAATATTTTGAATTTACATAATAGAATGTTTGCTAGAATCCATTAATATTTAAAAGATTTTAGCTTATATATATTCTTTGAGAAATTAAGGTACGTTGTTTAATTGCTTTGATTAAATACTTTCTAATTATATCTAAATCTAAGAAAAATTGGAAAAAGGTAAAAAACACACTAAGTTTTAGTATACTTGGATCCCTATGAGTTCTTTTTGGTACTATCATTTATGTCACTGTGGTAAGCCTGCTTTTTTTTTTGGTCAGTATTTCTGTTATTTTCAAATTTCTATTATCTCTAATTAGTCCTGGTTATCTCTGTTGCTCCTATTAGTTCTTACCAAGTTTATCTGGAAATCTATAAGTTGAAAGGGGGAGCTCCTAGCAGGCATGATCACATAATACCACAAAGTACGATGATTTTCCATATTTTTCTGGGAAGTGAGATTTAATACTACTTCAGATGTTTTCAGGAGGGCAGTATGTAATGTCAGTACCTAGTATGGTTTCTGGTATAAGATAAATTCTCAATCAATAGTTGTTGCTGTTGGGGGCCGACCGAGTGGCGCGATGGTTAAGAACTGGCTTGGGACGCCAGAGGACCCCGGTTCGGATCCCACATATGAGGGCCAGTGACACTGCCCTCCACAGCTAAGATGCTGAACAACAGCTCAACCTGGAGCTGGGCTGCCGTGAGGCGCCGGCGACGGCATAGGCTGCAGCCCCTGTGGCAGTGGGTTGCCATGGGCTACCGTGTGTAGCCAGCAGCCAGCGTGAGCGGCCAGCAGCCGCAGTGAGCGGCCGTCCAGAAGCCAGCGACTGATCTGCCTCACCTGGGAAGAGCGCAATGATAGTGCCAACTTGGGCCAGTGAAGCAACGTCCTCCACAACTAGACTGAAGAACAAAACGACAGCAACTTGTCTGTTCCCCTTCCCCCGATTCCCCAGTGCTGTTCCCCTCCTCCCAATTCCCCAATAAAATCTTGAAAAAAAAAATAGTTGTTGTTGTTGTTATTATTAAAGTTAAGCCAAATTTATTATTATTATTATTAAAGTTAAGCCAAATTTATTATTATTATTAAAGTTAAGCCAAATTTGCAGAGCTGTGAAAATCACTAGTCTTTTTTCTCTCTAAGATAAAGACACTATATATAAGAGAACAGGGTACACTGTAAGCATCCAAAGCCAAAGTTCACACATCATATAGATGAATCTGTTTTGTTAACAAAGGAATATTTGTCCTATGATTACTATGTACTATCACATATACTCATAAAGTCCCAAAGTCTATGAATGAACATAACTGTCACTTTATAAACAAAAGTTTTTTTGAATAAGAAAATGGAAAATAGCTTGATATTACAGAATAGTCTGTTTTACTTCAACTCAGAGGCACAAACAGTAACGCACAACTGAAAGGAAAGAACTCTAGATTCTTATAGTATAGCATATTGGTTTAAAAGAACATTTTTTCTCTGAAAATATTCAAATTCTTCCTAGTCTGATTCTACC